TAAGGCTGCTGTGATTACTCATGCATAGGTTTTTATGTGGGCATAAGTTTTCATTTTCTTGAAGAAGTGCCCAAGAGTGCACTTGTTGAGCTGTATGGTTTTTGCATAGTTTTATAAGAAAATGCCAAACTGCCTTGCAGAGTTGGCTGCTGGAAAAATCCACCAGCAATTCATAAGTGATCCAGTTTCTCTGTATCCTCAACAGCATTTGATGTCACTCTTTTTATTTTAGTCATCCTGGTATGTGTGTAGCGATACCTCATGTAGTTTTAATTCACATCTCCTTGGTGGCTAATGATGCTGAACACCTTTTCAGGTGCATTATTTGCATCTGTATATTCTCTTCAGTGAATGTCTGTGTCTTTTGCCCATTTTCAAACTGATATTTCTCACTGTTGACTTCTGATTCTCTTTATTCTAGACACTAGTCCTTTGTGAGATTTGTGATTTGCAGATTAAAAAAAAATTGTAATTTGTCTTTCAGCCTAACAGGGCCTTTCTCAGAGCAAACCTTTTAAATTTTGATGCAGTCCAACTTATCAGTTGTTTTTCTTTTATTAATCATGCTTTTGTTGCCAAATCCAAAAACATTTCGCCTAATTGTAGATGCTGAAGATTTTAAAACCCAGGCCTTAATTTGGTCAGGTCTGCCTGCTCTGCTTGCTTTTTTTGGTAGTTTGCCTCTTGTTATTTTTTTCCCCTTCCTGTTTCCATGCAGCTGAAGGCCTCAGTAGCTGAAGCCCTTGCTGCTGAACACTGAGATTTACCCTTCACTGGCTCCTTTACCGATAACTCATGGGTCGCCATGGTAATGGTCACTTGGGTTGTTTTTCAGGAACTTGGGCCAGCTTCTGTCCAGTTTGAACTGGTTGAGACCACTTCCCCTTCAACTGGGCTTGTGCAATTGCTGTAGAGGCGGCGTTCTGATGTTAGAGGGCCAAAACTCCACCCTCGGATCATGCTAACACTGGCATTTTCTGTGCATATGTTCTATGAAATGACACTTGTGCAGAACCTGCCAGTTTATTTTTCCCCATTGTCAATCACCTTTCCCCACACCTTAGACCACCCCACTTCCCTAGCCCATAAATATCGCTGAGCCTAATCTTTGGGGAGGCAGATTTGAGAGCTGTCTCCCACCTCCTCACCCAGCAGCCTTGTAAATAAATCTTTTCTCTTTTGCAAATCCAGGTTACTGTGACTGACTTACTGTGCATGGGCAGAACAGACCTGGACTTGGCTGATAATAATTTTCTCCTATTTTTTTCTTAAAGTTTTATAGATTTACACCCGTGAGTCAATTTTGAGTTAATTTTTGTATGAAGTGTGAGATTTAGGTTGATGCTCATGTTTTTACCTGTGCATGTCCAATTGCTCCAGCACCATTTGTTGAAAAGGCAATCCTTCCTTCATTTAATTGCCTTTGCATTTTGTAAAAAATCACCTGGACATATTTGTGTGGTCTATTTCTGGATTTTAAATCTGTTCTGTTCCATTGATGTATGTGTCTATTTCTCTGCCAGTACCACACAATCTTGATTATTGGTTAAGTTAAAAAAGTTTCTGCACTAATTCTCAGTGTGGCCTGAGAACCATTTTTGAAGCTAGAAGAACATCTCCAAGGGACTGACTAGTCTAATTATCCCTTGCAATCCAGAGAGGTATAGTGAGAATGTGCTGTACTGAGACAAAAGACCTGGGTCTTGTAGTCTCAGCTCATCAGGATGATTAATGTGAAAGGAAACATATTTCCTACCCTCCCAGTGTGTGTGAAAGGAAATATATTTAATCTATATATAAGGTTTAGACTTAAGTATAATTCAAATACAAAGGGTTATTATTTTAGGCATAAGCAAAATGAGATTCAGAGATTAAGGTTCTCCTTACCCAAAGTCATCTTCTATTTGATTTGGTGATAATCATCAGAAGTTTCACATATTATTCAGCACATAAATATAGAGTCTAAACTCTGCCAGGCACTGTGAAAAGTTCCTGGTGTATGAACACAAAAAGACATGGTCTCCGTCCTTAAGAATCTTTCTACGTAGTGAGGACATAATTAATTTTATAAAAGTTAAGTGAATACAAATTAAATTTGTATTGAGTATTCCTTTAGAACTCCAGGATTCACCTAGGTGGATGAATCCACAGGACAATAAATCATTGTCACAATTCTCTGTAAGTCCCCAGCTACACTCTCAGACTCTGACGGGGATGCACATGACTTTGGTAGAGTCAATAGGAAAGAGAGGATCTTCCTGGACAGAGCTAAAAATCCTGTGAGGCTTACACACTTATAACCCCTTCCCAGCAATCGCCATCTACGCTCCAGGATTCCTCTGCCATCCGTTTATTAAATCCAAAACATCCTATGGAGGCGATTCAGAGCCCACATGTTAGGCTTAGTACCTGGGTGATGAAATAATGTGTACGACGAACACCCATGACACAAGTTTACCTATAAAACAAACCTGCACATGTATCCCCAAACACAAAAGTAAAAAAAATACAATGAATAAAAGTTTATCTAAAAATGTATATTGCCTACATCAGGTGGGGTAGAATGTGCGGAAAGTGGGCATTACCAAGGATCAGCCTTCTTCTGTGTGCTCCCAGGTTTCATTTCATGAACTGATTTCAGCCTAGGACTGTCTGTCATGTAACTGCATGTGGACTAGCTTTAACAGTCAGAGAAAGACTGGATGTTTAACGTTCTTTTAGGTAGCCAGCAGTGAAGAAAACTTTGGAGAACAAAGGCTATTACTATCAAATCATTTAAACATGATTGCATGCTATTTGGTGCATTCCAAATGCACGAGAGTAAAGCAAAACACACAATAGCGAAACATGATCTATTGCAACAAAATCAAAATCCAGTTTCTGACTCACGGTTGGAGAGATGCTCTGAAGTAACAAGTGCCATCTCAGCCACTGGTGAGGCTCTGCTGCCCCCAGGTGGCCGAAGTCCTTCTCTGACCAAGCTGCTGGTGCTCTCATGCTGATAATGTTAGGGAGGTTTGAGCTGGGCAGAGCCCACCACAGCTCCGCAAAGCTGCCTTAGCCACATTGCCTCTCTAGATTCCTCCTCTCTGGGCAGGGCATCTCTGAAAGAAAGGCAGCAGCCCCAGTCAGGGCCTGTTCCATAAGATTCTAATACTGTTTGTTCACTATACCCTTTCTTTGTTTAGATATGTTTAGAAACAAATATTGTATTACAATTGTATACAGTATTCAGTACAGTAACATGCTGTACAAATCTGTAGCTTGGGAGCAATAGGTTATCCCATAGAGCCTAGGTGTGAGGTAGGCCATACCACCTAAGTTTGCGTGCGTACACTCTATGACGTTCCCATAATGACTCATGTCTCAGAATGTGTCCCCATCGTGAAGCAACACATACTGTAGTTGCAACTGTTTGATTCCAGGATGCTGCATCTGGATTAAGCACTGGTGGAGCACATTAAAGACTTGAAAAAGTTGTCTGTAATAGCTATTACCATTTCACCACCAATTATTCTTTCCTCAACTCACTGTGTTCTGACTTCTACCCAAGCCACTCCACTGAAACTGCTTCTGCCAAGAATCTTGCTGCTACATCCGAGTCCTTCTACTGTTTGCTCAGAAGCACTTAAGAGTCTTGAATTCCTCCTCTTCTGTGATGGGTCTGGGCTTTCCTGGTATTCCTCTCCCTACTTTTGGTCCCCTTCACTGGTCTGTCCTCCTCTCTATAGTCTGCCCATGTTTCCTAGGGTTCTGTCTTAGGTCCAGTGATCTTCTCCCTCTAAAGACTCTCCTTGGGCAGTCGCAGACATCCCTACTTCTAGATGCTGATGCCTCTCAATGCTCCATCTCCATCTCAGCTCTCTTCAGGGTCTTACATCCATCTGCTCGCTGGACAAGACACTCCCAAGTCCCAAATTCATCTCAATATAGCAATGTTGAAAATGAAACTCAACTTCTTCCACTCCCACAGATACCCTCTGTTCCAATCAATGGCTCCGCTGTACATCTAGATGCTCAAGCCAGAAGTTTCAGCATTGCCTCCTTCTTCCTCCTTTCCCACATTTAATCAATTCTCTAATCTTGTTGATGCCAGCTTTAAAGATCTCTCAGATCTGTCCCTGTGTTTCGTGTCCTCTGCCACCATGAGTCCTGGCCCCTGTCATTCCATCCTTGGATTAGGGAAACAGCCTCCTCACTTGGCTCCCGACCTTTAGTCTTCTTTCCCTCCAGCCCATTTTTGATGCTATAGGAAGAGTAAGCTTTCTGGAATACAAATCTAATTACAACCGTTCCCAGCTCAAAACCTGGCAGTACTCTCCGCTGCCTCAGACTAAAATCCAAGCCCCTTGCTTCCTGAGGCAGAGATGAGTGTATGTGAATTTTTTAAAATAACCACACAGAAAAACAGATTCTTTGGGATGTGCAGTTCTGCGATTTTTTTTTTTTTTTTTTTTTTTTGAGGTGGAGTCTCCCTCTGTTGCTCAGGCTGGAATGCAGGGGTATGATCTTGGCTCACTGCAACCTCTGCCTCCCGGGTTCAAGCCATCCTCCAACCTCGGCCTCCCAAGTAGTTGGGACTACAGGTGTGCGCCACCATGCCCAGCTAATTTTGTAGTTTTAGTAGTGACGAAGTTTCACCACGTTGGCCAGGCTGGTCTCCATCTCCTGACCTCAAGTGATCCGCCCGCCTGAGCCTCCCAAAGTACTGGGATTGCAGGCATGAGCCACGTGCCTGGCCTTCTGTGAATTTTAACACATGTATAGATTCTTGTGGCCCCCGCTATCCATCAACCCCCCCCAAACACCCTCATGTTATCCCTTCATAGTCGTACTCCCCCTCACCCCACCCTATCATTTTAAGAATGTCAAAGAGATCGAATGTGATCTTTCGAAAAGCAAAAACACCCAAATCCCTCGATGTGCTTTTCATGCCCTTGCATACCTCTCCCCCCTGGCCTCCAACAACTGCCCTCCTAGCCCCAGCAATGCAACTCGCCGGAACTATGCTCAGTTCTTGGAGCGCTCCAAGCTGTCCTCCACTTAGCCAAGCTCCCCATCCGCTTTCAGGGGGTGGTTTTCTACTGTCTGCAGCGGTACTTATTGCTTTCCCCACTACAGACCTTTCACGCTGTGGTAACTGCCAGGTTTTCTGCCTTTCTCATTACAGTTCCTTCCTCGCATGGACCGCGTTTTGGCCACGGCTGTATCCACAGCTCGCAGGATGGGCGGAGACCCCGCCCGCCCAGAGGCTTCACCGCCCACGCAGTAGCCGGGCGTCGAGAAGTTCCCAGCGACCAAGGCGGAGCGAGCATGCGCACTGGGAAGGGGCAGGAAGCGCGGTCTCCAGCCTCCAGCACGCGGCCCCAGGCGGGGGCGGGCCTTGGCAGCTCGCGCTCCCCTCCCTCGCCCCGTTGCGCTTGCGCGCTGCGGACAACGGTTGCAGGGCGTCCCAGGGCCTGAGGCAGGGTGGTCCGCCGCTGACACTTCTCCTTTCGGCCCTGAGGTTCCCAGCCTGGTGGCCCCAGGACGTTCCGGTCGCATGGCGGAGTGCTGTGGACGGCACCCATGGAGCCCTTAGTCGTTCTAGTTGCGCTGTTGCTATGGCCTTCGTCTGTGCCGGCTTATCCGAGTGAGTGACCGGCCTGAGGCGGCAGCGGACCTGGGGGAACCTCCCGGGCTCCGCGACCCCAAAGCCTGGCCCTTCCTTCTCCGTGTTCCTACATGCCTCCCTCCCCCTGTCCAGGGTCCTGGCCTCGACGCCCAGGGTTGTCCCTCTCCTCTCCTGGTGACTCAGGCGGCGGGGCCCAGACTGACCGGAGGCGCCGGCAGGCCGTGGGCGCGGCTGGATCCCCCTCACCTGGCCAGAGGCCTGCCTCTGCCCCCCCGGCCCTTCCCCAGCCTTTGGTGGGCGTGTGACGGCGCGGGGGTTGGCTGTCTGCCGCCAGCCGGCCACGTCGCCAAGTGGCTGGCCAGCTGGGCATGCTTTTTGCATTTTCAAATGTAAATGTGAAACGTGCTCCTTCATGACGCGTGGAAAAGCATGGCATTCACATTTGATTGTTCGTGAATAAAGTTTTATTGGAACACAGCCGCGCTCATTCCTTTATGTATTGCCCACGGCTGCTTTCCCGCGTTGCAACAGCGGGGTTAAGTGGTTGCCACACAGTCTGGCCTCCAAAGCCTGAAGTATTCGCTATCTGGCCCTGTACAGAAAAGGGTTGACCCGTGCAGGAAAACTTGGAGAGCGTGTGGATTGTGGGCCGTGGTCTGGGACACTCACCTGATGATGCAGTCCCAGAGAGCACGCATGTGCACACGCTATTCAAAGCCTTAGTTAAGCAGGATTATAACGACTTGACAAAAAGCAATTTTGTCCCTCCCCAAAAGCTGAAAACCAATGAACTCAAATTCAGGGACACCAAGACTTTACTAACAATGTCATATGGGCACCTTGAGGCACTTAGTATTGAAGTCAGGTAGATGAGGCTTACCCATTTAGTCTAACTAGTTCACTGCGGCATTTAGTAATGTTGGAATTTGGGTTAACTTAATAAATCCAATTTAACAGGTGTGAAAAAAGTAGTATTGTGCATGCTGATTATGCAAATCTATGTTTCAGAATTGCTAAAAGATCTTAGTTAAAAATCGATTTAAAAACAAAATATGACACAATCTAAATTATCATGAATAGTAGTGGGAAAAGTTCTAGATAAAGTGTCCCAGAAAACTAAAGTTAGCTCTGTAAATACTAGCACTTATAATTTGTAGCTCTTTTTAATAAGTTTTGTAAAACTTTTCTTCCTTGGCATAAAGGACGAGAACATAATGAAGCTGCTACTGTCTTTTCTTGGTGTCCAATGATCATTATTACTGACACCAGTTATTGCATTTTGATAGTTGTAGATCAGCAAGTCACAAGTGACTAACATATATGGAGACTTTAATTGAAGTGATTTTAACACTGTCACACAGTACTCGGGGGCTGCTGGGTAGGAGTCCGTGGACACCCACTTAACTTAGCACTTTCTCTTGCCTAACACCGTAATTTCACGGCCTGTTCTCTTTCTTTGCACCATGTTCCCTACGTCTTCTCGGGAAGAAAGAAAAGGGTTGTAGGAAATGAAAAAACACTTCTCAGAAAAAAAGGTGATTTTGTGTTGAATATATAGATGTTATAAGACATGAGGAAACTCTATACAGATTGTAATCATGGAAGATGTCATGGAAAATGTAGTTTAACTCTCTTTTCCAGAGTGGATTAAGAAATATATAGAGCAGGCTGTGGTACATGGCTCTTTCTCTGTATCTGTCTCTCTTTTCTCTATAGATAATTTTGTTTTTAAAATAAGTATACAAAAATACGTATATAATTGAGCTTGATGTAAATCAGCTATGCATTCTTTCATATGGCCACTATTAGAATGATTGTTGGCAAGATGCAAAAGATAAGGCACATAGGTTTTATAATGAAAAGTGCAGCTTTGACACATTGTTTCTAGACTACTAGCCAGTTTGGAGGTTATGTTACACAAACATCATGGCTATATTAAGTAACTGCATTTGTTGAAACCTCCGTACTTCTTGTATTGGCCCAATCCAAGTTTGGCTAGTATTTGTTTAATTTAAATTCAGTTAGACATAAATACCACTTGGGTATACAGAAGTTGGCACTCCTTTACATACACACACACACACACATACACACACACACACACACACACACACACACACACACACACTGATGGGGCTGGATAAACAGCTTTTTACTATATAAAACTTTATATGTTCAGTTTCCTGGACCTGATTTTTCCATAGTTTTAAATGCTTTCTCATTTTTAAAATCATGCCTCTTTAATGTATTTATACTGTGCAACTTACTTCTTAATGAGAATTCTTTTTGCTTTAAAAAAAAGTGTACAGGCTGGGTGTGGTGGCTTATGCCTGTAATCCCAGCACTTTGGGAGTCCAAGGCAGGCAGATTACTTGAGCCCAGAAATTCAAGACCAGCTTTGGTAACATGGCAAAACCCCTTCTTTACAAAAAATACAAAAATTAGCCATATGTGGTGAGGCACGCCTGTAGTCCCAGCTATTTAGGAGGCTGAGGCGGGCCCAGGAGGTGGAGGTTGCAGTGACCTGAGATGGCACCACTGCATTCCAGCCTGGGTGACAGAGTGAGACCTCATCTCAAAAAAAAGAAAAGCACAGTAACTTCTAAAGTAATATTAACTTAATAGTTACGTATTTAAATGATATCAACTACTATTAAAATTATATAATTTGTCTTTTATAATTTTAACTCATCAAATATGGGCTGGGAGTGCAAACTAATATTAAAAATAAAATTAAAGTATATTATATGTTAACATTTAAATCAGAATTTGCATAATTTAACATTTTAAATATAAATAAAATATTAATTTCAGGGATATCTCCCAAATAAATTGGATCATCTAGATCATCTCTTGGTATAGACTAGGAAAAATAGGGTTAATGGCACTGGTTTTAGTCTAGGATTACAAAAGCTCTTATTTCTAGATTGGTATTATAAGGCTCAATATGTCAGTCTTTGGCTTCTGTCATTGTCTTTAGGAAGGATTTTTGTCCTAATGAACCAGACAAGGCAAGGGAAATAATAAGGCAGCAACCAGCAACAATTGTTTGACTCTATCACCAAATAAATTCAAAGGAGAAGCAGATTTCTTTTATTTCAAATACATTCCAAAGATAACACTGGGTTCTGGTGCTGCAAGTTCACTTTACACTGTTAGTGGCCAAGGCTATAGCACTTAGGAGGGTCTCTCAGACCTGTGAATGAAATGTCATGACACACTTCATTAATGTCTGAGATAATGAGGAGCATGTCATCTAATAGGTGAGTGTCCAAAGATAACCTGTGGGGCAGTAGCAGGAAGTTTCATTATCCTGCCCATTAGTGTTTTATGGGGAAAAAAAGTCCTGCCTTTCTGTTCTTTTGACCATATTACCCCTTAAATGGATATACTTTAATCTCTTGATAATATATGTGAAATTAAACTTAACAATTTTTCATAACCAAATAAAATACTAGTGACTTGAAAAAATTTCTCTTAGTATCACTATATAATATATTTGAAGCACTTTAAAAATGTACAATTTATTTAACCTAAGTATAATTTTTTTCTGAGGCTCAAATATTCATATCTTGACCATTTAAAGCCATTGTGAGCTGTCCTCTCTTGTTCTTTTGATAGGATCCCATATATTTATAAAGACTTCTTGTTTTCTGACATTAACTGATTGTTCCAAGCCCACTATGTGTCTTTCCCACTCTGAATGGAATAAATCGTCTTTCTAGGGGGTTGTAGAACATGGTATTAGAGACCAAAGTGCCTGTGAGACATACTAGACTAGTGCAGTGGGGTAATACTGTTATTTTTGTCATTTTAGTGAACAGAACTAGAAGAGAAATATTTAAAGTCATGAGTTTATTTTGGTTCCAATTATAACATTACTCATAGGATATGTCTTTTTGTTTTGTTTTGTTTTGAGACGGAGTTTCGCTCTTGTTACCCAGGCTGGACTGCAATGGCGTGATCTCGGGTCACCGCAACCTCCGCCGCCTGGGTTCAGGCAATTCTCCTGCCTCAGACTCCTGAGTAGCTGGGATTATAGGCACGCGCTACCACGCCCAGCTAATTTTTTGTATTTTTAATAGAGATGGGGTTTCACCATGTTGACCAGGATGGTCTAGATCTCTTGACCTCGTGATCCACCCGCCTCGGACTCCCAAAGTGCTGGGATTACACCCAGCCACCACACCTGGCAGGATATGTCTTAATTTTTAACTCTTTATCCAAACTAGAATTGAAACATAATTTAATGAGGCTATTTTGGTTGTCTATTGTGGCATAAAAGACTGCTCCCCCAGCTGTCACGCCTGTAATCCCAGCACTTTGGGAGGCCGGGGCGGGCGGATCACAAGGTCAAGAGATCAAGACCATCCTGGCCAACATGGCGAAACCCCGTCTCTACTAACATATACAAAAATTAGCTGGGCCTAGTGGCGTGCACCTGTAGTCTCAGCTACTCGGGAGACGGAGGCAGGAGAATTGCTTGAACAAGGGAGGCGGAGGTTGCAGGGAGCCGAGATCATGCCACTGCACTCCAGCCTGGCGACAGAGTGAGACTCTGTCTCAAAAAAAAAAAGACTACTCCCCAAATTTATCATTTTTCATGATTCTATGGGTTCACTAGATTGAATTGGGCAGCTCTGCTTCAAATGGTATAGCTGAGGTTATTCATGCAGCTGCATTCAGCTGGATGATCAAATGGATAGAAATATCCAATATAGCCTCTCATTCTCCAAGGTGTTTACATGACTTCTTATCTTTCAGTCCGCTAGCCCAAGGTTCTTTACACCGTGGAAGTTTACTTCCAAGAGGGAGATTTATAAGCCCCAACATGGATGCTCTTACTAAGCCTATGCTGTATCAGACTTGCTAATATCCTGTAGGCCAAGACGAGTCACATGCGGCAAGCCCATATCCAGTGTGAGAAGACACAACCCAAGGACATGAATACCAGGAAGTTCGAAGTCATAAAGTTACATTTCTTTAACTGGAACACCTGATTAATATGAACATAATTACTTGTTTGTTTACCTGTCAGCAAAAATTAAGATTTGAATAATAATAAATTATAGGAAAATTGCTGGATGAATAACAAGGTTTAGTATTTCCTTTTATGACCATTTCTTGAGTACACCTCAGTAATCAAGTACAATTATTACGACTTTGAGTTGGAAATACTTCTTCAGCTCAGTTCATTTAAAATTTTAACCTTCATTAAAGTTCATTTTAATTTGAAGATGTTCATGTTTTAACTGGTAGTTCTTACATGATGACAGCTTTCAGTTATTCTTACTTTGGCACTTAACTGCTGTTGAATAAGGGAAGTTTATTCTTTGTGAGTCCACTTCATGGCATATATAGAAAATACAAGCAATTTGTTCTCCAAAGTTATGGACATTCAGCTAGAGTGTGGACCATCTATAAGTGATGGATGCTTGGGTATATGTTTAAGTCTTACATACATGAGTTCTTTATGGATAAAGCCATTCTGTTTTCACTATTGTTGTAATAAAAATCCTAGTTATAGTCAAATCTTTAACAAAATGAGCATCTGTAGTTCTTGGTTAAATTTTGGGTGCAATCAGCAGTTGCCATATCAAGGTTATTGGCCAAGGGCAAAGTAGAAACGTATGTATATCTATGCAATGGAATATTATTTGGCCACAAAAATGAATGAAGTACTGATACATGCTACAACATGGATGATCTTGAAGACATTGTGCTAAGTATAGGAAGCCACTCATAAAAGGACATGTATCATATGATTCCATTTATATGAAATGTTTAGCATAGGCAAATACATAGGTACAGAAAGTAGATTAGTGGTTGTCCAGGGATTGGGCCTTAGGGGTTATGGGAAATGGGTTTTATTGTGGGGTGACAGTAGAACTTAGATTGTGGTGGTGATTGGACCACTCTATGAACATACTGAAAACCATTGAATTGTATATTTTAAGACAAATAAAAGGTAAATTGTGAAGGTATTTTAATATTAAGATTGTGACTTACATTAAAATTATGTTAATGCAGTGTTAACTTTAGAGATTGATAGAATTCAATGAAAGATAATTAGTAGGACTTAAGTTTATGTGATCTAAACTTATATTAGGTATTTAGTAAGGGGCAGTTATAGGAAGTATGAGGGCTCTTTGAGAACTGGAACTATTTCACCATGATGTTTATGATGTTATTTTATATAAACTTATCACTTAGAAATTTAGAAAGACATAGTAAGCTGTGTCTTTTATTATTTTAAAAACTGCCTACTTTGCCTAAAATAAAAGAAAATTCTTATTATTCATTTAAAAAATTCTCTCTAATAATTACTGGACAATGAGGGTAGGGAAACTGCACCCCCATGTGATAGTTTTTAGACTAGCAGATTTATTTTTTAAACATAACTTGAAGTCTAGTTTTCCTCCTCTGTATTCTTCTACAGAAATGTTTGTACCCGTGATTGTTTTCTTAAGATAAATTACTAGAGGTGCAATTAATTTACATATTTTCCAGCATTCTGTTCATTCAGTTAATCATTTAACAAATACTTTTTGACTGTCTAGTATGGTTCTAGGCATGGGTAGAACAGAGGAAATAATGAACAAAGTAGATGTGTCACAGCTCTCAAAAGAGCCTACTAAGTGTAGCAGTTAACAAACATTAAACAAACAAATACAGTTAGAACTGTCTAAATTCTATAAAGAACAGGTCAGTGTGCTAGAGAGAGACTAAAGAAGGATTTAGGGATCAAAAGGGGAGTAAGGATGGAATTTATTTTTTTTCTTTATTCCTTAAAAAAAAACAACAACCAGGATACATGTGCGGAATGTGCAGTTTTGTTACATAGGTATATGTGTGCCATGGTGGTTTGCTGCACCTATTGACCCATCCTCTAAGTTCCCTTCCCTCACCCCCAACCCCTCAACAGGCCATGCTGTGTGTTCTCCAGGGGCTAGACAATAGGGGATATGGGAAATGGGTTTTATTGTTCCCCTGTCTGTGTAGGATGGAACTTACTTCACTAAGGAAGTAACATATACACATGCCAATCTAGGTTTTATAGTTAAAGAAGTATTTGCCTACTTGACTGGCAAAACCAAAATTGTTTTTAATTTGTATATCTTTTATGAACAATGAGTTTTAGCAAGTTTTCACACAAATTTGCTTTTACATTATTCTTCGTACCCTTCTCCTCCTCTTTTAATTGGTCATTCTATGAAAAGGAAATATATTTCACATGTATTATTTACTGAATGAAGTTTTAAAATTTTATTTATTTTATTTATTTATTTTTTGAAACGGAGTTTTACTCTTGTACCCCAGGCTGGAGTGCAATGGCGCAATCTCAGCTCACCACAACCTCTGCCTCCTGGGTTCAGGCAATTCTCCTGCCTCAGCCTCCCGAGTAGCTGGGATTACAGGCGCGCACCACCATGCCCAGCTAATTTTTTGTATTTTTAGTAGAGACGGGGTTTCACCATGTTGACCAGGATGGTCTCGATCTCTTGACCTCGTGATCCACCCACCTTGGCCTCCCAAAGTGCTGGGATTACAGGCTTGAGTCACTGTGCCCGGCCGGCAATGTCTTTTTAAAAGCATTGAAAACTTTGTTGGTTATACATTTTAGATTTGCTTATGATGGTTGTTCAGAATTAATATATTTTTCATAGTAAAAAACTTATGGAAAAATTTATATACACGAGTACAAAGAATTGTATA